TCCCCACGGGCCCCCGCCGCTGCCATTCTCCGTGGGCGGCGCTGGCCCGACGCAGGCAGCTGCCCGGCCGGGAGCCAGGGAGTGGGGGCAGTGCCCTCCTCCCTTCTCTGCTCGATCCTGGGCGAAGCACCTTTTCTGGTTCCTTTGTCCTGACTTAAATAGGGCAATTTGCAGAGGCGCTGATTGGCTCAACCCCGAGGGGGATGGCAGTCCGATCTGGTGGCCAGAACCAAGTCTAACCCAGTTCCAAAACCCGGGAGGTCACAGGGAGCAAAGCCCCTTTCCTGCCACCAGAACCTGCCCTCTCCCCATCAAACCGTGACCAGGAATAAAGTTGTAATGTTTGTTCACAGACATAAGCCAATTATACTCAAGTTGTTTGACAAGGCCTTGTTGACTTTTAAATATTCCCTGCTTTATAATAAATTTTTAAAGATCAGTACTTTTCTATTTTTTTCTCAGTAACTTTTACTGCTGGCTAAAAAAAGTCATTGCTTCCTAGCTCTTCAGTGTCTACCACTGCAGGATTTTGAATTTGATCTCCTAGGTCTTGGCAATGTGACTGTGCAACATACTTGCAACTACTTCAAAAAGTTCCTGTAAGAACAAGTTGTGCAGTAGATCCTGTTCCTACCTTTTTAATCAAGTAACCATTTTTAAATATGGAAGGTTTCTGTAGAAGTGTTGAGACGTTTGTTTTACTACAATTTTTCATTAGTGAAAATTAAACCCTGGTTTTCTTACTAGAGACAATTTAATAAAATGCCAGCTGCCTCCAAATCTTCACACATGCCCACTTGTAATTTCTAACTAGCTTTAATTTTTATCTTGTCCAAGCACTGTATGGACATTGACTGCAGTTTCTTGTAGATTTTGCTTCTACTGAGTCTCAGGTTACAGTAGCTGCAACTCTGAAATTAGGACAGGACTATGACCTCAGATACTTAGGAATATATCTTGTGACACTACCAGGTAAAAACTCAGAGATGAGCTTTAGAATTGGAAATTGAAGGGGCAGTTGGTTTAAAGGTACAGTTTTGTGGTGCTTTTAATGCATTCAATAACAGCTGGGCTCACAGGTTGATTAACAATGTGCAGAGGTTGAATTGATGCCAGTTAGCCCTTTGCATTGTTTAAGCTACAACTCTAATCTAAAACCCCATTGTTTCAGGTTGCAGGATACAAGCTTGAGATTTTTTGTAATGATTTTAAAGTCCCATTGACATAGAAAAAGTTGCAAGCGATATCCTGATTTGACAGAACCAGCAGCTTAAAAATGTATTACAGAAGTGGTAGTTGCCTGATGCTTCTCGTGATGTTTTCTGAGACCACTTGCTTGGCAGGCCTTGTTCCTGCTGCTGTGTATTAGTAGCTCAGTGAAGAGCAGCAGCAATGCAAGTATATGTAAGCCAAATAGATGAGCAAATGAGTGGGTTTTTTTATACGTACAGCTTTAAAAAGAGGAGTTGTACTTGGGCTTTAGTAATGTTGCCTATGTGGCAGCATGACAGCTGCAAGGTAGGGCTGGCAAAGCTGGCGTCTTGCTGCATTTGCCTCAGCAGCAGCGCAGGGTTGCTGTGGGGAGGAAGGGAGGCTAGTGGGATGTCTCTCCTTCCAAAACCTGTAAAGCTGTGGCAGCTTGCTTGACCAAGTTTGCATTGCTGTGGCTGCAGAGTTGTTTGAGGGTTTCTTTAATCTTGTCCTCTTCTATTTCTTGCCTCAGGTCACCTGAATGGGAGATGAAATGCTGACATTTAATGACATGCCATGGCGTAGTGGCTCCCAATAAGTTATAAGATAAAAGTTTGGAGTACTTGCTGTTTAAAATGAGCTGCTTTAATTTAAATAAGTTTCAACAGATACCCTTTTGGCCATTGAAAATATTGAGCAGGTTACGATTTTTCATCTGTTTGAGCTCCAAGAGCTGACTGAATAGGAGAAAAGCACTTTGAGAATGTAACACAGGACAAGTACCAGCATTTTTTTTTGCCTGTATACTTTTTGTTAGCCTTTCCTATTAGCAAGAGTCAACTCTTGGTGTTATAGCTAGCCTATAAAATGCTAAGTATATACACCTCTGGAAAAAAGTCTTAAAGATCACATCTGTTGTGTCACTACTCCATAGTAACACTGAAGGATGCAAATGCTTACCCCTATTCTAGTATCTGTGCAGCTACAGGGAAAAAATAAGAGTATGCTGCAATATCCAGCCAATACAGGGTGCCTCCAGGATTTGAAAGGCAGCTCCCCTTGTGGCAGATCCTTGCCTGAGCACAATCATTATTTTCAATTTACATGATTTTTATATTAAGATGTGAGAAGCTGACATGAGATCTTTGGACTCCTGGTTTCAAGGCGATTGTTTTCAGTTAGTGCCACGCATCCAGGAGGCTGAGTCTTATCTTGCTCAAAGCATTTTAAGTCTTCCCTAACTGTGGAGTGAGAGAAACTGAAATCATATTGTTCGTGTGTTTTACTAAAAGTTGCTGTGCAAAGGCAGCATTGCTAAAATTGCTGCTTTATATCAGTTTCTGGTTTGCTTACAGCATAGGCAGAACAAATGTATGCCTGCCTGTGGGAGATGATACAGACTCTTTATTTCTTCAAACACAAAAATTCTGTGGTATGTACAGGACCTGGACTGCCAGACGGTTGTGCATAGTGAATTTGACAACGATGCCTTTGTTCCAAGGCTCTAATTTTGCTATTTCAGGACTTGATTATGCCACTGACTCAGTGGAATAAAGCCTTTCTTTCTCTATTCAACTGATGGTTTAATCAACTTTTCATAAAGAAAGAAGCTACTTGACTGGGATTTTTGGTGATCAATGAAGAATGAACCTCTTTAATATCTTGTACTGCTCACTGCAACATCGCAAGCAGCACATTTCAGTAACAAAAAAACACTTGTGTTTTCATCACAAGTATCTGTTGTTTCATCACAGACAACTTAAAATGAAGTTACCTGAATTAAGAAGACTGCACAAAAGACCCATTGAATTATATTTCACCTCAGGACTTGTATTGTCATCTTGTAGAAGTTTGTGTAAGCTTTGAACTAGCTGTGATTCCTTAAAAGATTCTTCAAGGGTTTCTGAAAAATAAACAAACAAATATCTGAAATGTTACCTGAAAAGAAGCTAGAAAGTGAACATGTTTACTTTTTTTTAAAAAAAAGTCCTGACAGGCTTAATTTCAAATTGGCTATGTAGGCATGCCTTGAGCATCTGTTTTCTGTACTGGAAGATTTCTGTATTTTTTGTGTACAGTTGTTTCTTTACTGCCATCATTCTGGAAGGCAGAACCTGTATACTATAGATTGTATAAAATAACCTCATAACGGATTAAAATTTGCAAGGATCAGTGCTAGAAATATTAAATCACTTTAGTTTCCCAATTGAGTTTGAGAGCCTTAATGGTGGACCAAGCAGTAAAATGGGCTCTTTACTGTCTTGTTGGTATAGGAAATTCCAAATTTCAAGTTGACTATTTTCAATTTGTCTTGCGATGTAGGCAGATTTCTGTGTTGACAATCTTTATTGTAATAAATGGAGACCCATTTTGGTCTCAGTCATATAGGAAAAAATCTGAAAAAAATTATACTCAATCTCTCTGAAAATTACCTCAGTAAAAGTAGTTAGAACCTTTAAAGTTTTCTTAGTTGTTTCATTTGCAGCTTCTACAAGGCCCTTTTGTCTATGCTTCTACTTTATTCTCTCTTGCATTCAAATGTCTGTCTTCTGAAGGTTATTTCCTCCACTTACAGTCTTTATTGATCACTGAAGTCCATAATTTGTCCTTAATTGTCTTAATTTAGACTTTCTCATCTTTTTTCTAGTCATCTTCACCTTTACTTTCCCTCTGGTTTTTTTTTGTGTTGGTTTTGAGCGTCATACCATGCTGCTCAACAGATTGTGCCTGTCCACACAACCTGATCATTTGACTCTACTATAGTAAAGAAAAATTTAAAGGCAATTCCTGAAGCGTGTTACTTTTGTGATCTTCTGGATGACTGACCTCCTTTGTTTCATGCTGAAGAGCTAAATCTCGACAAAAACCATGCTTTTTCTTATGTTGTGTGCAATTAACAGCATGACAGTGTTTCTTAATAATTGAGGATCTTGCACACCTAAAAGCTTTTAGGAGAAAAATACCTAAATCGATTGCAGATGCTATTGCCAAGGCATTCAGAGCCTCATTCTGCACGGCAGCATGTTTGCTCGTTGTCATGGAAACCAGATGTTTCACTCCTTGTGCCTCCTGGATGGCTTTGACCACTTCCTGTTAAAGCAAAGTTGAAATCACAGATGGAAATCTGACTTATGAATAAAGTACAATGAAGAGAGAAGTGAGATTGCACTCTTCAGTCTCTGAATAAGTGGAAATTATTTACCTGCTGCAATGCAAACTGATTTTTGAAGACTAGAGATAACATTTCTTTTTGCACTGATCATACATGTCTGCCTAGGGCTGGTCTAATTTCCTTGCAATATCAATACTTACAATTATGTATATGGCTATCTATAAGATAAAAATAGACCTATTCTGTCTCAAGAGTTTTAGTTTGACCTTATTCCAGTTTTTCATTTCAAGCCTTCAAACTAGCAAAAATTAGTTTTACTTTATCAAAGCCAGTGCAGATAATATCTGCTTTTTTTTTAATCACTACCTCGAAGTAACAGTTGGGATGCCTGTGTATAATAGCATGATTTACAAGAAACAGAAACCTCTTCTAATATGCCAGCAGATACATACCATGTCAGATTCATCCATCACTAGGTAGATAAGGGGACTCTTTGGATCTCCTGGAGGACTGACGTTCAGGCCAGGTTTGGGTTATCTTTGGCATTGAAATTTGAAACTAATATTTATGGAAATAGAATAGCTTTACCTACTTACCGTTTGTCAAGCCTTACTCAAGCAGGGTAAAATTAGACAAGTGACAATAAGTAACCATGTTGCTTGTTTCTGTGCAGTATCTGTGGTTATGGAGAGCACTGCCTTCCTGCTCACCTCCCCCTTCTTGGCATTGAGGCAGACTAGAAGCATTTTTACTGTGAACTTCCATGTTTTTAATCATGAAGCTGTATGTGCTGTTTAACACAATATTTGATGAGTATAAAGTAGAAACATAACAGACCAGTAGCTCTCATACTTGGGACCTGTTGTGACGCAAGATTGATGCTAGCAGCCGATTTGCTTCTCCGCAAGCACTGGTGTGGTCGTTAGCGTCGCACCACTGCACTAGTCTGTTCAGCAGCATGGGGTCTTGGCCCAGGATTTCAGCCGCATCAGCTGAGGAGAAAAGCATCATCAGGAGACATTCAAAATCAGATTCTCCGCCTTTCTGTCACAGAAATCTGAATGTAGAAGTAGCCGGGACCACAGGCTTGAGCTCAGTATCCTTTAAGAACTGTAACTAAAGCATTAGGCTTCTAAGGGAACTTTGAAATCTTTACCTGAGGAATGCCAGTTGTGTTAGGGCAGTTCTTGGAGGTAAAGAACAAAGTAAGCTGTTCCGATAGACCTATCCTTTTTAAGAGGCTGCTGCAGCAGGGCTTAAAATGAGCAGCTTCATATCTTTGAAAGCAAATATTCTGTTGCTATACTGAAATCTTCATGAGGAGTGTCCCTTTGCTGTTTGGTTTCTTGCATGTGCACTTTGAGCCCTGCACAGATGTAATCATGGGCTCTTCAGTGTTCTTGCTGTTTCAGTGCTCCAGTAATGGTGATAATTATTGTAGGTTGCATGTGGGAAGCCAAGTCTTGATACAGAATTGCAGCATGTCTGTAGTTACATGTTTCAGGTCTTAAGAGTGCGTGTTGAACTGTGTATTACACATTATCAAAACTTCCCCCAGAGTTTGGAGAAGCGTTTTAATTTTCCATCCCCTGTGTTTCAGGAGCTTTATCTCAAGACTTGCTAGAAGCATTAATCTGTATGGTTGACGTTTGGAAAAACACTCGCTAGTAATTTTTCCTAAGTGGAACTCTAATGTTATACTGTGGTTTAAGGCTTGTTGCCGCTAAGGGAGACTACTCCCAAAGCTCTTAGAAGTTCAGCAGCAAAAGGAACTTTACTCATGCTCTCTCAATGTTACATCAGTCTAACACATGGTTCCATATGAGTTATTAAACTGCAGTAAGACTCATCTTTAAAGTGCCGTGAATCAAAAGTGACTAACTGGCGGAAAGTAATTTCCCAAGCAAAGGAAAAATGCAGATATAATGGCACTGAGGGCTGTGAAATGCTGTATTTTAACCAAATATGTTAAGCAGAGGTTCAGCCCTGAGAACATCCTGGTAAATACTGCTTCAGTAATTTCAGTTAGTTGATTCTGTTCAGTACTTAAGACTTTGAAATTCTACCTCTTGGTTCAACTGGAATTCTCTTCAAAGTGAAGGGTACCAGGAGAAAGATAAGAAAGTAGAAATATGCATGACTTAAGCTGCCTTTTTGTAGGAATTGAGTGCTCACCCATTTGGCTTTGAGCACAAAAGAGCTGTTTTGTAAACTGCCAAACTGCTGTTTCTATGTGTTCCAGTTGGTCATGAACTGAGGATATAAATGCACAGCACCTCCAGCTGGGTACCAGATATGACAGCTGAGAGGCAAGAGTAGTCACAGGACAGATACTCACTTTTGATGTAGAATTATTCTATTTGCAAAAATAGACTGTGATTATAAGATTTAATTCAAATTTGGGAGTCTCATGTAGTTATTTGTAATTAAGAGGTTTTCTTGTTGACTACGTTTTGGTCATCTTGAGTCCTGTCCCATACCTGCCCCCTGCCTGTTGATGCTCGAGGATCAGAGCAGATGAGCACGAAATGCGTGCTCTGAAGAAGGAAAGATGTGGTTAAAGCCTCCATGGGAAGTGTACGTTACCTAAGAAGGGCTGTAAAGGGTCTGTGAGGTTTTTCCAATCTTTTTCTGCTTTTCCAGTCTTTTAAAATAGTTCCAGGCCTGAAAGAAGGTAACGGGGAAGATCCCTGCTCCTTTGGAAGCAAATTCAGAAAGGGAAAAATGTGGGGAGAGTGTGCATGGTTTTAAGATACTGGGAAGTTTGTTTCCTGGAGCTTTGCTGAAGCAAAGACTTAAGGAAGAACCAACCTTAACATCCAGAACAGAAAGGATAAATTTGGCTGATAGGGGCATCACCCTACTCCTGTTTCTTTACCTGTCCCTTTCTGTGTGTTGCATTTGTTTTGAGATATTCTGGAAAGGGTCATATAGAGTGTGCACTAGAAGGTCAATGTCAATTAACCACATGATTACTCTGGATATTTTGCAGAAACTGTAAGTCAACCTATTCTCTTTCTATTTTGGGGAGGGAGATGAGAAAGGATGGACACTTGCCTTTTTTATTTGTCCAGCACACTAAGGAGCAATCCGTTGATCAAAATCCCACAAGGAATCTGGGAGCTTCTAGCCTAGTTGAACATGTTTGTTTTGAGATGAGTTACTTATTGTGGCACATCCACCTGCATATTATCTCCTTTAACAGAAAGGCTTTTGTTTCTAGGTCGGATGTGACAAGTTAGTCTGAGGAGATCATGGTAATCCAGTTTACAGAAAGCTGAAAGAGGTAGGAGGCTGGTGAATGGAACCAGTCTAAGAGGTTTGCTCAAAGGAGGCATCTTGACTCAGTCTGACAGGGACTTCCTGATGTCTACCAGCTATCAAGCTCTTTGAGATAAAGCCCAATTAGTTATTCTTAACAGGAACAGGGGGACCTTTTAACTTACAAAACGCTAAATTTGAATAAATTGTATGTATGATTGAACTTCCATTTGAGCTGAAAGTCCTTTGGCTGTTGAAGTACACAAATTCTTCTGCTCCTCTGAAGCAAAACAGTGGAAAAAACAGGAGTTAAAGTTATCGTCTTTTTAGTGTAATAAAGCTGACACTGACTTCAGGGTGTTTTTTCTGTGGTTAAACTTACCTCTTCTAGTCTGCAGGCCTCAGCATGCCCAGTGATTGGCAGAGTAATGAATTTATACTAGATAATGCAATTAAGTAATTTAGTGTGGACTTCTTAGTAGATGTGTATTCGTAAGAGTTTCAGGCTGAGTTAATTAAGGGCAATGTTAGCTCATGGGTAAACAGAATAGAAGGTAATTAAAGGTGGGAGAATTGTGTAATCGTCGGCAGGAATGGGTAAACATTGAATAATCATCTACATCTTTTTTCTACTCTACACTTCGATATCTGTATTGTTTCAGATTGAGAAATTATAGCACTTTGTGCCAAATTCACAGTTCATACTAAGGCTGGTAAAACATCTTTGAAGAAAAAAAAAAGATAAATTAGTGTTTCGGAATTTAGATCTGTGTTGTGATGTCTCTATTTTAAAAGCTAAATGGTCTCTGCTCTCACAATTAAGATTAACTTTGGAGAAATGCCGTGTTAATTACTTCCTTCAAAGCCTGAGAAGAAGATAAGTTTCTGTGTATCTTGCAATGTCCATTTCCTACCATGGTGAAATATAAGTGAAAGTAGCTTTTTACTGGACTAGAATCAGTGCGAATTAATATGAGAGCTAGACCTACATTTAATATCATGCATATTCATTTGAAAAAGGATGCAAGTAGCTGCCGTATCAAAGTGGTGCCTGTAGTGGTTTATATCAGTGCAGCACGGAATGTAAGAGTGAGATTTTTTTCCCCTTCCGTATAACTAAGGAATTTGATTGTAATTGTTCCGTACTAGCTGTCAGTTCCCGTTGCAAAATGGTCGTAACTTTTCTGATTCTGTTTTTGACTTTTTCTTGCTATTCCTGCACATCAAGGTGGTCTATACTGAGAAGTGTTCTAGAGCAGCTGCTCTGGTGTTGCAAAAGAATTAGAACACTTCCTAACAAAAAAAAACACAACCCAAAACCGCACAAGACTTGGGTTATGCTCTGGTAAGAAGCTAGATAAGTCTAAGGATAAATTAAGATATTGTAGTAGATCTTAACATAATTCTGACACCGTACATATTTCTCAAAGTGCAACTATATGCACTGAGTGAGTATTGTTGCCTTTGCATCTCCACCTCTGTAAAAGCTAATGAAGTGCAAGTAGATATTCCCATATTTCAACATGCAAAGTAAATTCAACATTTGAGCCACCAGCAGGATAAATGTGGCAACATGTGTATAGAGAGACTGCGTGACTGGTAGAAACTCATTTCTCCTGTCTCTCTCCACCCAGCTCCCTTTGATCCTTTTATGTTCTCCAATTCTTCTATTGGTTTGCTTTCCTGTGATTTGGCATTGTAAATCCTTACCCTGACTCTCTTCCATCATACTTGTGCCTTGCTGGTATGTCTCTGGTGGAAAACATCTTCCTTTCAGGTTTGCTGCTTCTCACTGACTACTACAGATTCTTCCATTTGATTTGTTTCTCAGCTATGTCTGAGGCTGACTAGGTCAGTAGAGGAGGCTTGTAGCCTCTGGCAATCCTCTCTGTTGGAAACTCTCCAGAGGGAGTGGAATTAGGTTAGCAGGATGCTTAGCCTATAGTCTCCTTGCACATCCTTTGTATTACAGGGGGAGGGGAGGAGGAGGGCGGCATACAGTTGACATCAGTAAACATTAGCAGTTCCCTTACCTTGACCATCTGCTAACATCCGTAGTGTTCCAAGAAGTTTAAACTGCACGGGAGGCATCTCTGACCTTAGAAGAGCCTGAATCCGTTCTGCCACACCTTCCTCCAGCACTTGAATCTTGTTAACAACTAGAAAATGGGAAAAAGGAGACATTGATGTGAAGCTCAGTAACTACACAAGCATCTGAAAAATACAGATATAACATAACTTGTTCTAAATTTTATGCTCTGTTACACTCTTAGCAAAAGGTCCAACTTGTTAGAGTGCTCAGAAATGAAGCTGGGACTACCTGACTGTTTAGGCTTCGATTTTGAGCTGAAAACTTCCTAGGAATTCCTGTTAATGATATTTTGGTTAGTTTTTTATTTCAGCTCTGCCCTGTATGAAGTACGTAAGAGGATAGACACAGCATTATTGTTTCTCTTCCTTTTTCTAGTTGTAGTTGATAATCCATCCACTTGCCCATTCACATGAGCAAGCCTTTCCTATGCTTATCTTAACTGAATTGGGTGGCAGAAGTGATTTACATGGCCATATTTATTGAAAATGAGTTTTCTTTTTGTGTTTGAGCTCACTGATCCCCTGTGGTTCATACCTTTGTTTCTGTGCTTTCCTCTTCTAATTCTTGTGTCTTTGCTTCAGCTGTTAGTGCAGTAATCCCTGGTTAATAATCAGAAGCCTGTCTGGAAAGAGTCCTAATGATGCTTGACTGTGCTACCAAAAGCTGCTTCCAGAGTAATTTTACCATCCTGCATGCCTTTTTTTGAGGGATGAGGGAATGACAGGGCAGTGAATTTAGGGAGATAACTGTTCTATCCTTTCTTCCTTCTACTGGGCAAACTGAGAAGGAGATGCTAAGTAACTTGCTCTTGATGTCCTTGCTCTTCAGTGGCACAGACTGACTCCGTTCACTAGAGCATAATGACACTTTCAATTTTTTTTTTGTAAGCACCTGTTCTCTGTTGACTCATATTTAATTCACTTTTATTTTACGATTTATTTGGATTTGCACTCAGTCTTCCCCCCCTGCCCCCAACCCAGGTAGCAGACTATATTGTTGAAAGCGATAGAGTTAGTGTATTTCTGGAAGTAATATATTATTTTGAAGAAATGTCTTACAGCTTCTGTATTCTGATATTTTTATGAACTGATGAGGAAAAGCACAGTGCAGAAATAGCATTTTAAGTACTATGCATTGCCCACACTTGGGAAGATCCAAAATGGTTTGTAACAGACTTGAACAGAACAGATAATGAAAATAGACTTTGTATTGATACGTTGATATTTTATGTTTCAGAGTTGAGCCTTTTAAAGTACAGCTGTAAAAAACCATTAAAATCTACTGGTACTATGTGTAGCAGACAGTGACCTAGGGGTGAAATTGTAGGTTGCCACCACATTTTTTCTGGAGTTTTAGATCCTATAATCTTTTCAAGATCAGCCGTATTCATTGCTTTGTGAAGGAACTCCCAAGGAGCGCCATCATCTCTGCTTGTTGTAAAGGGAAGCTACATCAAATTTGCTATCTTTCAAATGATATTAATTGGCATCTTTGCTACTTGTAATCATTAAATCTTATTGTACATATTGCAGGAGGAAAAAAAAACCGAAAAAATCTACCTTTTCATTCTAATAAATATGATTATATTTCACCTACTAAATTTCTCCTTAATTTCAGCTGGATATATTTCTGATTTTTTTTTTTCATGCTTCTGTGATTATCTTTGAATAGCTCTGTGTTAAGTTTTAACTGATGTAAGATAGCTGGCGTGCGTGGTCAAAATACTGCATACTCTATTAGCACCAAAAAGCAATTTGCTCACGCCCCTATCTGCTGATCTGAATGGTGGTAGAAAAATCTCTTCACAGAGAAATAAAATATACATAGAAGCAATGAGAGACTTAGAGTGTGAAATATGTTTGTTAAAATACTGAACAGACAGACGTGTCTGGCTAGCATGATCCAGAGAGTGTGATATTACTATAAGCCAAACTAAATAAATCACTTGAGAGCATATCAAAAATAAGTTGAAAGAAATAAGTGGAGTTCTGAAGAGAGCTACCTGCAAGGAGAAATGAGGGTGTATCAGGCTTTAAAAAGAAGTAGTGGAGGCAAAGTAGCAACTAGTATGTTATGGGGCTCTCACTTGTTCGAAATAATGATTATGTATAAAACTTAAACTAAGCATGCTGGCTAGCTTACATAATAAAAATTGGCAGACAACTTCAAGTTCTTGTATTTTTGGAAAATGGTGTTGGTGTTGTGCTCTTCTCCGGAGAACTGTATAGCAGTGTAAGGACCGTGTTGCAGGATGCTGTACTGTTAAGTCTCTAGTGAAACGCTTCTGGCCTGAATTGCACTTTCCCATGGAAGCAGTAAATTTGAGACGAGAAGCAGCACAATTTTCTGATGTGTACTAACAAAAGATCATGAAAGTAGAATCATAAAATCCTTTGGGTTGGAAGGGACCTTGAAAGGTCATCTAGTCCAAATCCCCTGCAATAAACAGGAACTTCTACGGCTAGATCAGGTTGCTCAGACTCCTGTCCAGCCTGGCCTTAAGTGTTTCCGGGGATGGGGCATCTACCACCTCTCTGGACAATGTATTCCAATGTTTCACCACTCATAAAAAAATTTCTTCTTTATATTTAATGTAACTCTATCTTCTTTTACTTTAGAAGAGTTGCCCCTTACCCTATCACAACAGACCCTACTAAAAAGTCTGTCCCCATCTTTCTTATATGCCCCTTTTCAGTATTGTAGTTTTTAAGTGTCTTACAAAGGCTGAATTTACAATGAATGTTAGCTTTATAGAAGAGGAACAGATTTATGAAATTCCTGCTAGCAGTGATGTGATAGTTTCACCCCATACTCTATTTTAGGCTATAAACCTTGTTCTGCATTTTAGTCTTGAACTGCTCTATGCTGTTAATATGAGACCATTTCAGTAGCTGGCAATGAGATCACACTTTGTTATATTTTGACCCTTTATGTAGATGAGAAATCCTGATGAGTTATTCAAATATATGTCTCTGCAGGGGGAAAAAGGTCAATTGCCCCTCAAAATACAAGAGACTGGAATTGGTGACTTGGACAGAGCTGCACAGATCTCCATTAAATGACCTATGTTTACAAAGAATCACAGTAAGTTAATTGCCTTCAAACTCTGTACCTGGTATAGCAAGGTTTCGAAGTGCACTGAGTGCAGCGTGTTGAACAGATATGTCCTCACTCTCTACGTGTTTCTCCAAGAGATCCAGAAGCTGATGTATGACTCCTAGCTGTATCATTCGTACACAGTTGCCATCTGAAGAAAGAGGCGAAAACCAAGCAGGTGAGAGAGATAAGAAACACAATGATAGAAATTAGTTGTGCAGATTGAGAGTTCAGGGAGTCTTTGCCTTGACCCTCTAGTAAGGCTTAGCTTGAGAGAACTTTCTAGTCACTGTCAAATTCAAAACTGTGTGTTCTCCGTTCAATTTCTTCCTCAATATTGCTTTATATTCCAATATGTGTGTGGTGGAATATTGGTGGCATTTTCCATTTCTCAGCAGGATAGCTTTAATACTCCAATTTTGCTATTCTATTGGTTTAAGAGACTATTGTAAGACCAGAGGTCTTATCCAGCAATGATGAGTCTGATTACTAGTTTTGTACTGCTGTTACTCCTATATTCAGTCAAATGGTCATTAACTAATCATTGAAATAATCAGGCCTAGGCTTTTCTTACCTATTTTTAGAAACCTGCTTTCTGAAATAAGTATAGCTACTCATTTGAAGCTAGGAAAATGTTGTCCTATAGAATTCTCATCTGTTTAATGCTGATGAAAAAGCAGATCTGTACGTTCCAAAGAATTACTATTTTGCCCAGTACATGCTTTGCAGTACTTTTTGCCAGTGCGTGTCTGTACGTATCCCTCTCTCTGGGAGAACTTGGTCTGTAGAGGTGACAGCCCTTTTGTTATCAGAAGCTACTTAGCTCACCTTGGTAGGAAATGAGGAAGTTTTTTCCTAAAGAGCAAAAGGAAACTCTACATTTTATGGTCTGCATCCTTCCTGAAGGAAGTGTTTTGAAGATATTTGGCAAATATTTTTTTTGTTTGTTTCATTTTATGCAGTTTATTATACCTCAGGAGAAGCATATTCCTAATACCACTCAACATTTCCTTATTGCTGTGCTGTTACCATGTGAATGCTGTTTGTTAAAACGTGGCAAAGCAGCGTGAATGCTATATAGGAAACCATATCTTCACCTGAGGTAAATAATTGTCCATGGAACTATACAGGCTTCATGCAAATAAAGAATCTGGCCAAAAGTAGCTTTAGGTGCTTCTCATGGTACTAAGTGCATGCCTAAGATGTACAGACTTCTAATTTTTGTGTGGATACTACTTAAAAATGGCTTAAGTAATTTTAGCACCTTTGCTGGTTTGAATGTTATTTCCACCTCAAAGTAGCAGAACTTCCTCCATGGTGTCTTTTAAACCAATGCCTACTACTACTTTAATCTCTTAGTATTTCAGTTGGTAGCATGTTTTTACCCCTATATTACTACATATGTTAAATAAGAATTCATCAAATGCTTATAAGGTGTTAGTGGATATTTTCATAAGAGAACTGTCAGTCTGTGAAATAGTTTGAATCCTACTCATGCAAAAATCTTTTGATACCAGTTTATGCATACATTCCCTAAAGCCGATGTTTTTGCTTGTGATTCTTCAAATGTTCTCTTGCCTCATCCCAATCTTTGGAGATCAGGGAATAAGGAAAATTGCCCAGTCCTCTTTAGGAATAGATTCTCTAGGAACAGACCATCTCTTTTGGTCTGACAAAATTCTACAGGCAAAATTCTTTGATCTTCATATAGAGTAACCTTGATTGAACTTAATTTCTCTCCTTCCCCCACCTTTCAAACCAAAGAATGGCAGAGCATTTTTTCTCTTGTAGTAAAGTGTGAATAGGCAGAACCCATTAGTGGTTGTCTTGCTTTGATTGTCACAGAGCTCCAAATCGGTTCTCTCTTCTATGGATTTTTGCTTGGATAGCAGCAGAGCCTTCAATTTAATGGCTTTTTGTTACAGCCACTTTCATAGCTGCAAAAGCTGTCTGTCATCTTTTCACTGCCTCAGAAGTCATTTGATGTTGAGATCAGATTTCCATAGGATTTTTTTCCTCTTAGATTAAAGCCTGTGCATACATCAGTGGCACATACTGGGGCCTGAAAGGGATTATTCAGTTTTTCCACATGAAACATGTAATGGGGTTGTGGGGGACACGAAGGGAGAAGAGGGAGTGACAAAGCCAGCCATTCAGCTGAATAAATTGAAGATAGGCTGTTTAAAGGCACCAAGGGCATTTTTGTGGCCTTTGTAGAGCTGCGATGCACAATGGCTGATTCAGAGCAAGGTATAAGATAAGGAAGAAAGGGAGTCTAGAACGGATGTGAGGGGGGAGGGGGAGAGATGTGTGTATGATAGCTTGCTTTAAAAAACAAAACAAAAAAACCCACAACACCATACCCTAACAAAAAAACAGTTGAGACTGACTTGCTTAAACATTCAGGCAGATGTGAGGAAATCTGATAATTAAGCACATAAATAATGCAGAAAGTTGAGCAATGTTGAAAAGTACTCCTTTTTGTTAATTGAGTTTGAACCCAGTACAGTTGCTGTCAATGAGAAAGGACAGAAAACGTGGTGGAGTATCTTCTGCTGACTGATTCAGCACAGCCTGCTTTCCAAGGAGTCTGTTTATAAGTCTCTCTATGTTTCTCTCTTCATAGTATTAAGGCTTATTGCTTTCTATAATAGGAAAGTGTGAAAGATAAAATGGCTTATCTGGAGATTTTTTTTTTCCCCTGATGTGTCTGATTAACCCTCCCTTCCTAGAAGAGATTTAAAACCTAAAATATCAGTTAACTGTATGGTTTTTTTTATATTTCGGGCAAATATATTTGCCATGAAACATTTCCAGAGTTTCCCCTCCTAATAATGTGAGATTTAAGGAAAAAAAAAAAAAAGCAAAGCTTGCACACTTGACCCCCTCATTTTTCATGGTTGTATCCTTTAATCTACTTCAATATTGTTAGCACTGTAACTTGAAGATATGCAAGTCTCGAGTCTGCAGAAAAGCAAGTGTTACTGTTGCAGAGCCAGGGAGCAATGAAATCTCACAGTGCTGCTTTCCTCTCTGCTCACAAGCAGTGACTTTCCGTCTTTGAAGGGTAGAGAATAACCGACCGTACCATTTTTGGTAAAATTAGCAACAGCCGTTGCTCCTGTCTCTGCAGCTGCATATATTTGGATGTGATGCAAGTACCAATGTTCTGGGAGATGCCACATCCCTTAGCAAAAAACTTCTGCGTGTACTTGTCTGTGGCATGATAAATAAAGAGAACATTCACGTCTGTTTATAGTTAGCCCTGAAGTAAACTGTTCTGTCTGTCTTAGGGGAGATTCGAATCAATGATGACTTAAAGATTGTTGTTATAGCGAATAATTTTAGACCTTTGAATTGTTGGTTGCTTTGGGATTGGGGATGGTGGGATGCAGTATAAGTGTCCATTTCTTGATTTTTTTTTTCTTTAGTCTATGTTGCTCAAAATACAACATAGCAGGACCACCTAAACTAAGTTGCTGTTAAGTGTTTAGCCTTTTTGTGTTTTTCCTGAAATCAGCTTAAAGACTTAGTGAAAAATCTAGGTCAGCAGCGTATGTAATCTCTTCCTAGCAGATAGACGCAGAATTTACATTACAGGAAAGTTCCTACATCTCATTTGTTAATCCGAATGTTCAAAATATGCACACAGATTTGGAATAGTGAATGAGGAAACATGAGTAGTTCAATACCATGTTGTGAACTTAATCTGATGATTAGCTTTAAATTTAAAACTGGCTCTTAAACCATCTTTGAAAGTAAACTTAGAGAAGCAGGGTGTGAACTGACAACCCCAGGTACAGCTACAATGGCCTGAAGTTCTTGTGCTCGTGTTTGTGTTCTGCACAGGAGCAGTGACAGTGGTATTGGATGACTTGAGGCAACATATGTGTATGCTTGAAGGGAAGCGTGGCAAGGTGAGCACTAGGCTCCTATAAAAAGCGAAAAACTGTGGTGTCTGAGAAGAATTCACCTAAGGATTATGAAAGAGGTCGCAGATGTATCCCTGTTAAGGAAATGAAAGCAACAGAGCAGATGACAACTTGATGTTGTTTCTTTATGTATCCGGACTGTCAGTATTCCATTTTTTACCTCCAAGAAGCAGAGAGACAATGAGATCTGATGCAGCCTTCACAATGCATGTATCTTCAGCTTGTGAACTACCCTGGAGCCTCAGCAGGATCTCGGACAGCACCTCTTGCACACCTGCCTCCACCAACTGCACTTTCAGAGCATCTGTAGAGATCACAGTAAAAGCACACTAAAAGCTTCTTGGGTTTTTGTTGAAGTTTTTCAAACTAGGAAGCTAAATCCTTGAACTTTAGCAATCTTTTTCTCAGGTGCAATCACTGTATTGATTTAGTTTGTAACAAACATTCTGTTGCAAGGCAGAATGAGCAAAGCTTCTGCATTCATCTTTGATGTTTCTTGTATTACCAGTCTTGAGATTTTGTTTAAAATCTGTATCAAGTATCTAGATATTTTTAGTGGATTCCTGTTGGTGCTTGTTACACCACTGCTTAGAGTAGACATCTTCTATTGTACTTGGTTGCCTTTTTTTTTAAAAAAAAAGTCTGTCTAGTCTGCTTTCCTGTTACATACCATGCAGAATATGAGTTTGAATCTGCTGTCTTTTATGGATCCACTGAAATGGAGCAAAACGCTACTCTCCCTTGTTTCTTTGTTTCCTCACCTATTAAACTTCAAAGTCTTGCTCAGGCCAGGATTTCATATGTTCTTGTGGCTTATTTCCACTGAAGGGATTGCTGGTTCCATTAGTAGGATTCCATGGCAAACTTAGAACCCAGAGCTTAAGCTAAGTAGCAGTACACTGTCTCCCCTTATTCCCCAAGTTGCAAAGGAACCTTACCATTTTCTGCAAGTGCTTGCAGGACCTCAAAGACAATTTCTAACCTCTCATGGTTCTCTGCTCTTCTCAGTTGTTTCACCATCTGTTCAGCAACCTGTGTCTTGCTTAGAGCTTCCTTGGCTGTATCTGTTCATATGATAAAGTCAGGATTTTGACTGTTTCTTTATCTGATTAAATGTTAAAAGCATATCTCCTTATAATCTGAAGTGATGAGACATTACTGTGTTTTTGAATGCTTTTCCTTTTTTTATAGATGCTTCTGTCCCTTTGGACACCACTGAGACAGTAAAACTCTACTCGATCTCTTCTTCCCCCTCTTCTTTCTTTAACGCTATTTTTGTGTAATTCCTGTAGCTATGACCTTATAATAGCTGTCCAACTAATCCTGGCTTAATTCCCCTGACTCTTATAAATGCTTCTGTAGTACAGTTATTTAATATAGCAAATTGGAACATGCCAGTTTGCTGTAGTAGTATATTTTCTGCCTTAATTAGATGGTTCTAGTCTTGCTGGGATCCTAAACATTGACATGATGTATGTTAACAAAGATGAGGGTTTTTTTAAAGTTTTCTGCTTACATAAAACATATTTGAATGGAATACGGTATTGAGTAATACGAGATCTATAAAGGACAAACCTCACTAGAGTATGGTGTGACAGTGTGATACCACACCCCCTTCCCTGCCTCTCCCACTAAATACAGGAAGCAGTAGATCCAATTGTAGTCAACTGTATACCAACTGTGGTAATATTTTTCTGCTTGATCTTTCTTCCGTCACTACTTTCAACTTGTGTAAAGTGGGGCAGTTGTATTTTAAATCAGTGGGGATGCCTTTCATTTGAAAATTGTGTAAACAAAAAGGGAATGTTTCATTAAGGTATATAAAAATTATTAAATAGATAATACATTTTTAATAAATGAGTATTTAATGTACCATATCTGAAGTAGCTGAAACTGACAGTTTACCACATGAAGTTATACCCTCTATGCTTTTTTTCTGAGTCAAAAGCTGTCTATTAAATCTTAATTGTTTTAATATAGTACCAGTAATGGCTGGTACTCCAGGAAAGAGCAGTTATTTCTTCATTATTTCTTCAATACAGATACTCTGACCAGTCCATGATTAGGTATCAGTTTAAAAAAAAACAAACCCCAAAACAAAACCAGCCACAATAACAACAAAAAAAAATCCCCCCCAAAAAAACAAACCACCACCAAAAAAAGACACCCCCCCAATAACCCCAAAAAAACAAACCCCCACAAAAAAACTAAACCAGAAACAACCCCCCACAAACCTGTAGCCTTTCTGCATGTATAAGGAAAGGCAGTGATAGTGCAAAGATGATATTTTGCTCCAATATACAAAAACATTTACTTACCAAGATCTGCAAGATTGCATAAGGCCAATAGATCAACATGGACAAGTGGTTCGCTCTCTGCATAATCCGTTAATATTCGTACTAGTGATGTGATTACTCCTACCTTCACCAGCTCTTCCTGAAGATCCCCTGATAATAGTAAGCATAGAAGTTAAAGGTGAATAGAGACCAATTGAATCAGTAAAAAGGGTCCAACTGAGATGCTTTGCAGCAAGATAATCTGGTTCTTTTTCACATAGAATTTGTACAATTTTCATGCTGTGGCTTCAGACTAATGCATGTGTTTGTCGGGCCAGGGTTTTGCTAACCCTTCTAGTCCTACTTTGACTTGAGGAATTAAGCCACTGAAAAAATATCTAAGGGCAATTGCATGAGCATCTCTACTCCTAGTGCAGCTTCTAAAGTGAGTTCTGATAGACTGATCTCTTGGTATGTATCTGAAAATTAAGTGAGAAATGGATGGGTTTTTTCTCTCAGGGAAGGGGAATCTGAGCCTTATTATCCTATGGCTTCTTTTGTTCTGAAGGGCAGGGAGACAGAAGGGACTGGAAACCCAAGATAAAGCATAGTCTAGTGACGACTCTGCTTTCAGGGATCAACAGTGTTCTGACTCACATAGCAAATGTCTGTATATCTGCTTTTTGCATGTAAGAATAATGATTCTTTTTTGTTTCTTAAAAAAAAAAGTATTTGTAAAACAAGGCACTTTACCAATACCTGGGACACTACAAGATACCACTGAGAGACAGACTGCTTTAAAGTTCAGCCAGAGGAATGATTCTCTTCCAGTTTTTTCAATGTTAGTTACTCAGCATGTAGGGAGTCTTGGAGTGCTTGAATTCAAGGTGTCTTTGGAATTTTTATAGGCTTTGTAAGGTTCTCAAGGAGGTGTAAATTCATGTGACTTAGGGGAAGTCAATAAAGTACGGTAAGTAAAAATTAATTTGGTCCTGGTTCTAGTATACTAACTACAGTTGTTTATATTCACATGCAGAATTGCTGAGGAAAACACTGGTAACTGTTTTCTTTCTTTTTTGGTTTGTCTTGTAATGAATGAAAGCCTAATATTTAAAATTAATTTGAGAGTGCCAAGAATTATGAAATACAAGTGATGGTTGCTTAACAGTATAATGATACTGCTTTTGCAACAGTGTCTTGCTAAGAGCTAGACTGCAGCTTGGATGACAGCATGTATGACAGACAATAGAAAGTGTCTGGGTGCTATTGTGGCATATACAAATGTAATTCAATCAGGAAATCGATAAAGTTAATTTTTCTCTGATGTATTTGTTGCTGTGTTAGTAGCAGAAATTATTCAAGCGTGTATCTTACACAGTCGTTTTGTCAAATCTATACTGGGCCTCTGCTCTGGCAGAAGTGAAGCGGGTTTGCAGAATGGCCATATGCTGTAGTAATGCTGGTGTATGATAGTTGCATGAGCTTTGCATGTAATCGTGTGGAGAAGTTTTTTTAACTATTATGTGGCATTTCTTGGCAAATACATCTAATTTTCAGGGGACTGATAGAATCCATACCTGGTATCTATCATGCTTGGATTTCATAGGAACAGTGCAGGGAGGCAAACCCATAGCTTTCTAGATAAAGCTACACAGATCCACGCTGGAAAGATAAGAGGAGGTGGGTTGAGGGCTGAGGGAAAGGGATAGAAGATAGTGGGTGAAGAGTTCTGTATTACCTTCAGTAGGCAATAAATATTTTTGGTAAAGGTAAAAGAAAAATCTTAAACTGTTGGGGCAAGTAAATGAAAAGGGTTTACTTCATGGGACCAGCAGGCAAGCTAGCATACTGTCTTTATGGAAAAATCTGGAGCACAGAGATCTCCTACATGCAAGAAGTGGTCCTCAGAGAAGACTATTCCCCGCTTATTTTTTAGAGTATTTTTTTTTTTTTCTGACACACTTTTTAAATAAGTGGTTTGCTTTATAGACACTGTTATTACTTTGGAAGAAGACAAAACCATTCAGTATTTGGGCCCAAGGCAGTTCTACAAAATTAAGATACGTATGAAGCTCTGCTACTCTTTTAGTTGCAGAGCAGTTCTAACAAAGATATGTCACCTTGCAGTCAAAAATGCAGGGAGAAACCCAGAGTTTAGGAGGTGTTTGGGATGCATTCAGCCTGGTGTCTGTGAGCTGTGTGAATTGTATGCATCTAACTGGAGGCTGAAGTGCATTGTGTGCTAAAGTCTCATTAAAAAGAAAAATATTGAGTTACAGGTTACAATGCCTTATAACATAATGCCTTAACAGCTAGGGAAAATAGGATTCTCTTGATACTTACGATTGTCATAACAGATACGGCCAATAGCCCTCCCAGCATGAAGCAACATTTCTTGGTCTGTGCTCTCCAGCAAAGGTATCAAAGTTAGAACCAAATCTGCTTCAATACATGGTTTCTTCATTTCCTCTATGGAAGTAAAGGAGATAGGCTTGTGAGTTTTTTGCCATGTTGAAATAAAACAATTACAACTGCAAGACCAATAGCTGGTAGCTGTGAAACAAAACTCAAGAGTAGAAGCATACAGCTAATGTGCTGTAACATGCCTCGTAGTAACACTTCAGTACAACATACCATTCTTAGCTATCTCTGAAAGCACCTGGGCTGCTTTTACTGCACATCGTGGATTGCCCTTCAGGATTTTTGCCAAAGTTAGGAAGATCCCACTCTCTCTGAGTAGGGTGAAGGATCTCTGCTCTGTAATGAAAAGAGTGTTAACAATACGTGCAGTAGGTTTGCAACTGTTTATTTATATGTTGCTTTGTTTCCTAGAGTTCTGAGTGGATATCTGTGAGAGCCAAGGTTCTGGTTTAACAAGGTACTTAAAGGCTATCTCAGTCTAAATATATAGGAATAGTCATCTTCTTGCAAGTGTAATTCCGGCTGATTATCCTGCTTTATGCTGAATTGAAGCACAGGTGGCAAAGCAAAAAGGAAAGCAGTTTCATCTTCTCTGACTACAAAAGAGTGCTTGCATAAGGCATGGGAAGTTGGGGATTAAGATTCTATTCTTAAGGTATGGCCTAGCAATTAGTTTTGTAGACAGGCACAACACCTTTTATTAGACTAATAAGTAGAACAGTCAATTCCCTTAGCCTTTTTTCATCAAAAATATGGCGAGTTGTCCTTGAGGTAATAAGTCCCCATCTGCCAGGAGATTCAAGTAAATGCAGGTTTATGTCATTTTAGGAGAATGTGCAGAGACCTTTTAAGTTTCTTAAAAGGAGACTAGGAACTACTCTTTAAATTCCTGACCTGATAGTGTCACCCCAATTTTATCGTAGGAGTTCTTTTTGTAGTAAATAGAATATTAAATAGAATATTAATAGAATATTAAATTTGAAATTAATCTGCAGCTTCAGGTGTTTCAATGACCAGTAGTTTTATCTGGTCAGAGGCAGATTTGCGGGTATACAAAGAGAAATGAAAACGGCAGAACAGACTGAGGACAGCTACGGTTCCAGCAGCAATCACTTCTTATAGTACAGATTATCACAATAGACAAAGCCTCCAGTGAATGCTTTCAGATTGTGCAAAAGTTTCAGTGAGTGATACTTAGCTATCTTCAGTAAGAGCTAGGAGAATTCCATTCAGACTTTCAAGGATTTGATCTTCATCTTCTGTGTCATCTCCAGAGAGCTTCAGGTACTCCAGGTGCTGACTCAGGCTTTCTAAACAGAATGGGATTGAAAACTGTGATGAGCCAGTATGGAAAATATTTTGAGTTTTCTGGTATTTCTTTTCAGTGACAATGATTAACCATGAGATGATATCTTGAAGGGTCCAGATCTAAATAGGCTCATTAAATAACTCATTTCATCCAAGAGCATGAGGGCAAAGGCTTGGTCCACTTCTCAGATAGCACATAGCTCTTGTGCAGGCATAAATATACAGAGATAAATTCTATCTGGAAAAATAAATCAACATATAACTGTGGCAGAGTTTGAAGTAGGGAGGAGAGAGGAGAGAACCCAAATCAAGCCTGTCATTTCTAAACACCTCTTTTTGATAAAGATAGTACTTGCAGTTCAGCTAGCTGTATATCTGCTCTGATAGTGGCCAGTAGCAGGCACTGAAAGAATGCAAGAATGAAACAGATACTGTAATATACTTCTCCCTTAGTCTCTGGCAACCTTGGCCTTTAGAAACATACCTAGTATTTACATAAATGTATTTAATACATTATAATGGACTCTTATTCCATGAATTTGTTTAACTATTCAAGATAACTCATACCTTTTATCTTCACAGCACACTGTGATATTAAGTTCCACTTTTTTATTGGTTTAAGAGGAAGATACTTCCCTTCATTTTAAAACGTCTACCAAAAAGCTCAAAGCTATTGGCCTTTCAATTTCTGTAAAAAGAGAAAGAAATGATCCTTCACTGTTTGCTTTTCCCATGCTTGTCATGATTAGATGGATTTTTATTATATATTTCTCCTTTGTAATTCTTCTGCCAATTCATTTAATATTTCCTCTACAGAAGCTTTGATAACTTGCCTCAGTCTTTTTCCAGTTCACTTTTTTTTTTTTTTTAATGACGAGCTAGAATTCAGAAGTGTTTTCAAGGTATAGATGGACTGGGATTAAGATGAAGACAGCAATTTTTTGTTTTCCACTCCTTTGATCCTTTATCTATTTAAGAATGTGTTTGGTGCAGCTATTCAAAGTGACTCCATCTCTTCTGGGCAAAGGGAATTCATTTAGACCCCCACCATTATTCATAATTAGGCCATCTTTTTCCTATGTATGTTGTTCTGCATGTACAGACACTGAACTTGATGTATCTCTTTATCCCACGTCATACAAGATGATGAGATTTTTCTACAACTCTCTACAATCAGTTTTAATTTTGAGTACTCCAGATAATCCAAAGCCTCTTTACTATTCCGCTATTTCTAGATTGTTTATGAATATATTGAATGACACAGGTTCCATCAAAGGTAACCTCTAATAATTCTGTCTCTCTATTGTGAAAGCAGTCTTTATTCTGCCCTTCAGACTTCATCAGATAACATTCTCTCATATCCTAAAATAGCTTAGATTATAAACCTTACTGAAAGGTTTGTAGAAATCAAAATTCATTGTTAACAGTATCTCCTTTATTGACCTTCTTGCCAGTTCCTTAAAAATGTGTTTAAATAGAGAGAGGCTGAGCATTACTTCCCTCCACAGAAGTCTCACTC